TCGCCGTCTGCTTGTTTTTTAATATATATTTTTCGTTTCTATACTCCAGCTCTTAAACATAAATGATATCGTAGCTGCACATCTACCGTTTCATATATAGTTTTGTGACTTTAAAGTTAACTTACAATTACCACTACAACACCAAATAAATTATCGTTACTTCTGCAGCAGACGTTAATATGTATGCATTTGTGTGTGTGTGGGTGTGATGGCTGAGTATTTCTGTTTACACCAATATCTACACTACTTCATTTTTATGCTTATAAATAGTATATAGTTATGCAAGTATGCACACAGACGAACACATATGCTTATGCATGTATGTATGTGTGTTCTCTGTATGTATGCATTTTTATATTTTTTATTTATTAAGTGTCGCTCACAGCGCAAACGGCTGTTTTCACGCGCTGCACCGTTATTTTTAACATCCGATTTCCGTTTGTTTTTGCTTACGTTTACGTGGCTTACAGATTTGGTGAGAATTCAAGTTAAACATTCAGTACAACTGACCTTACTTTCTCAGTTTTTGGTTTTCAATATGTTTTCTTATTAAATTTGCTTGTTTTTTGTTTTTGTAGAAAAATGCGATGCAAATTAGCCTTCTTAAGTTCATTACGCGCGTTTTCATTAGTATTACATAATTTTTTTTTTATTTTAATTTTATATTTTCAATTTTTCATTTATTTTTATTTAATTTTTATTTTTTTTATTTTTGGATTTTAATTTTTTTTGTATGTTCTACTACAATATTTTGTGTGCTGTTTTGCATACATTTTTGTTGTAATAGTTTGTTTTTTAATTTTTTTTATTTAAATATTGACAGTCACAGGCTTAGTTGAAGCATTATTTAAAATATATATGTATATTTATATATAGTTAAATATATGTACGTGTGTATATAGACCTATTATGCATATACATATGTTTGTGTGTGTGTGTATGCATGTACGTTATTTATGCGCAATTTTTGCAGCTGCAAATTGGTGTGAGCGTGTATGTGTGTTGGTGTGTATATATTTATAGTATACATGTACATATACATATAATATTAGCTACCTTCTAAGTTTAACTAACTTAGTTTTAATTCTTTCCTCTTTTTGCTTTTTTGTTGTTTGAGTGTAAAATCATCTCTTTGTACAAACCGAAAAAGTACTCACTGCTCGAACAAACCAAACAGACTATTAAACTAGTGTCAGTAGTATTGACGGTTGTTGATACGTTTTTATAACGGTATTTCAAAGTAATCCCGTTTCGACATTGTGTGCTGTCCCCAGCGTGTTAGGATCGAAATTCAATTTCAATTCGCCAGCCAACACGATCTCCGAAATGCAGCCGACAATGCCATTCGCATATTTTCGTCGTGTGAAGTAAATCGCATTGGGCATGCCACCTGCAAAAAAATTTTATATTTTTTATAAGACTTCACTTAAAAATTTGCAAGCAAATGAATTTCTTTCGAGCCACTCACCGACATAGAGTCCGGTGTCTGTATTCAATTGTTTTAATTTGCCCGGTGAATATTGTGTTGTTGTTTTTCTGCCATCTATCTCCAAGTAGCCAGCCTGTGAGTCTCTGTTGAAGG